CACTGGCTGCGTGAGTCATGGCTCAGACGTGCTCTCTATTCCGAGGGGACAGCTGGTGGCACTAACAAAACATCTCCCTAGATACATTGTCTGGCAGCAATCCCCCTCCTGCTTTTTCCAGCTGTAACTACCGTTACGTGATAAATAAATAAACACTCTGACAGTGATGTGCAGAGGCAGCTTTCCTTCCCTCGGCCCCGCAGGCTCTCACCTCTCCTCCCACGGCGAAAGCACTAGGTTTCAAAGAAGGGGCAGGAAACCTGGTGTCGGCTGCTGCAGCATCCCACGGGCTCTACCTGGATGGTGCTCACATCCCGCTGTGCGGGGTGGTCTCCCCCCATGAAAGGTGTTACGCCAGAGCTGAAATGAGCAGGGTGGGCAGAGATAAACGATGCTCTCACCTCCTTGCCTGCCTTATCTTCACAGCTAAAGCCTGAGCATCCCTGTCCGGCGATCCCCAGCCCTCGCACGCCCATTACCGCGCTCTCGGGAAGGAGCCTGTGCTGCTGGCAGGTGCTGCTGGCTGGCCAATTAATTCAGAGCCCAACTGGAAAGTTAATGACAGCTCCAAGCAGCACAACCTCTTTCCTGCTGGGTTTCTGCCGCAGTTTTACTGGGAGCAGTTCAAGGGGAAGGTGAGGCCCAGCCATGCTGCAGGTGCTCAAAGCCGCAGGAATTCACATCCTGCTAACGAGGGGGCGGTGGGGAGAGCTGCCGAACCGCGGTCAGCTCTGAAGTTCACACGCACGCAGCAGCAGATCCTCTCTCGTGCTTGACTCTATATTTTAACACAGCTCCAGACATCAGCAAATCAATTAAAGTTCCTTACTGCTGAAGCCAGAGAGTTTTCTGGAACAGCTGGTAAATTATTGAATGAGACAAGGCTTAGGAAAAGAGGCTGGACTGAATGGCAGAAAGATTTTGTTTATGCACAAGTATTATGTATCCAGCAGGCAGAGGATGTGCCCTTTGGGCTGAGATCAAGTGTAATGACCAGTTTAATATCAAACACGGCTTTCTGGAAAGCCTGGCTGAAGGTTGGTGGGTGGGATCATCGCTAGACGTGGTCATCTGAGGGGGCTTTTCTCTCGAAATGCCGTGACCCCGGGAAAGCTGTCCCGAATGTCCCTTTGTCTGAGTCACTGCTTCAGTCACGCAGACCGTGACCTGTCCTGCCGTGGGTTATGCCGGCTCCTGACGCCGGGAGGGACATGGTAGCCATTCCATAAGCTAATTCAGGGGGAGCTGGACAAACACCTTGCGAGCCTCCTAAGGTGATCCAGCCTGGCTAATGCTGGCGTATGCTAAACTTCCCACTGCTGCTCCTGGATCCCCTGGGGAAAAGGACCCTTCAGGAAGATGGTGAAGGGAGGAGAGCCCTGAGCACAAGACACCCCACATGAAATCCTGTCTCACTCAAAGGCAAAATTTCAATGATTTTAGCAAGGCAGATTCCTTTTTTAGGTGGATGAAAAGCTGGCCATGAGCTGGCTGTGTGCGCTGGCAGCCCAGAAAGCCAACCGTATCCTGGGCTGGATCCAGAGCAGCGTGGGCAGCAGGGAGAGGGAGGGGATTCTGCCCCTCTGCTCTGCTCTGGTGAGACCCCACCTGGAGTGCGGCGTCCAGCTGTGGAGCCCCCAACATCAGAAGGATATAGACTGGTTGGAGCGAGTCCAGAGGAGGCCACGGAGATGCTCCGAGGGCTGGAGCCCCTCTGCCATGGGGACCGGCTGAGAGAGTTGGGGGGTTCAGCCTGGAGAAGGGAAGGCTCCGGGGAGACCTTAGAGCCCCTTCCAGTGCTGGGGGGCTACAAGAAAGCTGGGGGGGACTTCTTCCAAGGTCAGGGAGTGACAGGACAAGGGGGAACGGGTTTAAATTGAAAGTGGGGAGGTTTAGATTAGATATCAGGAAGGAATTCTTCCCGGAGAGGGTTGGGAGGCACTGGGACAGGTTGCCCAGAGAAGCTGTGGATGCCCCATCCCTGGAAGTGTCCAAGGCCAGGCTGGATGAGGCTTGGAGCACCCTGGTCTAGTGGAAGGTGTCCCTGCCCATGGCAGGGGGGGTGGAACTAGATGATCTTTAAGGTCCCTTCCCACCCAAACCATTCTATGATTCTGTGTTTCCTAACTGTGCTTTGCATTTCCAGCACTTCTGGTTTGGTTTTTTCCTCTTCCCTTTGGTCTGTTTGTAACGCAGGGCCGGATCCAGACCAGGGATGCACAGCCACTTCCAGCCGTCGCGTGACCAGGAGCACAAGCCCCATTAAGCAGCACTAATGGGAATCAGCCCCCCCCAGTGCAAGGGTTGATTTTGCTCTGCGCTGCACAGTGTAACTGAAATACGTTCGAGATGGCTGACTTTGAAATGTCATTAAAGTTATTTTTATGCAAGAGGTTTTAGTGTAGCTGTTTAAATAGCAAATATACTAAACGATGCTTTAAATATTAATACAGGAGGTTGCTTTGCTGAATTTAACTTTGTCAATTGATTTCAAGCTCGCAAGAAAATGCAAGTAGCAAGGAGAAGCTCTCGGTGCACTTACAGGTGGGCTGGAAGGAAGAGGGACTGGGATGAAGACAAGAACCAGCTAGTCACATCAGCTGGGAAACTGGGGAGGGCAAACATGAAAAGATAAAAAAAATCTACTGCTTTTAATTCCAGGTTTTCCTTTACCTGCAGAGAAAAAAAATGGGAAGAAAGGGGAAGAGGACCAGTTTATGATGCTGATCGAATATGCATCCATATTTTAATTTGGAAATGATGCTAAAACGTTGCAGGGTTCTAGAGTCACCGACTTGACTGTGATGTAAACAATACCCTTCCCCTTTCCAAAGCACGGATCAGTGTCTGGAGACGTGCTGTCCCCCTCCTGCCTTCACTAGGTGGCTCTGCTCATCTATTCCTCTCTTCCTCGTGGCTTTGCCATGCTAACCGGGGAAGGACAGGCATAATGATGTTCAGGCGCCCTAAATCACTCTTAACGCCACTGAATTGAATCTCCAGCCCAGATATTACCTGCTTTTTAGGAAGAAATAATTTATATCTTCCTGTCCTTTGGCATGTGGCTTTCTGGAAGACACATCACTGCAAATAAGCTCAGTGGAAACATACAGTTACATAAAGCCCTGACTTTCCTTTTACTTCTTTTCTTTTTTTTTTACAGTAGCTTATGATTTTTCTAGTGCTGCTTGCAGTGCTCATGCTTTATAGTCCTACTCCTGCTCACACATCTCTCCTACGGCCTGTTCTTACGCAGCTTTCACTCGGGAGGCTGCAGCCCCCTGCGTGCAGCAGCGGTCCTGCGTAAAGCTGTGCTGTAGCTGGAAGGGAAATACAACGGATGGCAGCAACACGGCAGAACAAGATGTATGAGCAAATTTTTTAAACGTACGGCAAATTTCAACTGCTCTCAGCTCCTGGTGTTTCCCTTGGCCCCCGCTTTCAGTCCTGCTGAGCACCCAGCTCTGCCGTTCGCACCACTTGCACCCGGGAACATTCAGCATCTCTCAAAATCAGGTTTGACATGACTCAGGGAGGACCCCGGACCCAAAATTTAGCTTACTCACCTTCAAGCTGTGGGTGAAGTGTAACGGAGGAGCCTGTCACAGGGATGCATCCACAGGTGAGCATGTCCCTGCTGTGCAGGGGCCCCAGCCAAAGGGACCTCAGGGCTCCAGACCCACACTGCCCATTTAGTCCTCACATGTACCTGGGAATGAGTCTGGCTGCCAATCCCCGTCCCCTTGGAGCCAGAGCCCAAGCCCCCAGGCAGGACACCCTGAGCTTTTGCAAACCTAGTGCCAACCAGTAAAACAAGAATAACTTGGACTTATTTATTCTCCAAAAAAAAGTGGTTTGGTTTTATTAAAAGCAAATACAATGTATTTTACATCCCCAACTAAGCCTGCCAACCCCCCCCCCCCACCTTTGCAAGTATACCCATGCACCTTAATCTACAGCCAGCTGCCAGGAAGGAGATTCACCTACCACTTTTCTGCACATACATTGCTTCTATCAATTAAAAAATAATAGCAAATATTCTCTGTAGACAGCACCATCTACGGTTCAGGTTTATCACAGGCAAGAATAAAGGACGGACATGGGCTAGTCGTGCACCTTTTGTGCCCCATTCCTCTAGAACCACTTGTATTTTAACCTTTCCTGTTTAATATTATTCAGGAATGGAAAGACTCTGGGATGAGGTACCTGTACTGCGCCGGGCAGACTTGGCATGGGGCTTTTTGTAACTACATGTGATTACAACCTTCAAGGCAGTGCGAGCAAGTTCTTGAAGTTCACAAAGGCTCTTGTGTTTCTGTACTTTAAAAAACCCCAACACATAAAGTACCTTTTTCAAAGGCACGGATGTTTGCTTTTCTTTTCTGATGAGGAAAGCACACAGGGGTGGAAGAGAGAAATTTCCTCCTGGGAGAAGCATTTGCATTCTAATCATTGCTGCTTTATCTTGGAGCATGAAACTCAAGAAGTGTGATACTCCACAAATAGCAGTCAAAGTGCCCAGTCTCCTTCTCACTAGCAGAACAAGACAGATTACTGCGTGCTCAGTAGCTGACAGATAAAAAGTTAATGGTCTAAAGCACAAACCAGGTGATACATGAAAATGAAGCAACAGCACAAATGGCAAAAAACATCAAGTTCGTTCTTAAGAAGTGTTGTGCACGCATGAAGGGCATTTTTGTTTGGTCCCAGAGGAGGACGTGGGGCATACCACGTGCGTGACAAGTTCTGCTCCCGGGGGGAATGGCAGCAGTTTTGAGGGGTGTCCGGGATTGCTACTCTCAATTATGCTGGTATCATGAGATCCTAATTAGGCTAATAGAATGTCACCTGAGAGCATTAAGGTCACCATACAGCTGTAGCCCCAAACTCAACAGTGCTGGGGAAGGGAGTTCCCGGGTTAAGGACGCGGGGTTAGTTTAACAGCACGCACAGGTGCGTGGTGCGAACCTTTCTTTCACACAACCACGATGAAGGTGGCAGGAGGAGGCACATTCTCATGCCTGTCCCAAAATGAATCCCACGAATTATCAGATCTTGGTTCACGTCAGCACAGTTCCGTTTCACAAAATGCCGTCGCTCCTGTCTTGCTCTTATTCACTTTTCCTTGGTTTTTGCTCAGGGTTGTCCTTCCAGATGCGGATGGTGAGGCAAGTCGCCATGGCCAGCCAGCCCAGGTAAGGCACCATCAGCATCGCTGCTACCTTGTTGATGCGGTACCAGGAGCACACCGTGCCTACGGCCAGGCCGTCCAAGCACAGGATGTCAATCAGCGCCTGGAGAGCAGAGGGAAGACAGTGGCTGCGGTGCTCTTGGGAGCACGCAGCAGCCCTCCCCGGCACGACTGTAAACCGTCCTACTAAAGGCAGTGAGGTGGAACAGGAATTGAGGAGATATAGCACTGGTTGATCCTAAACCCCAGGACCTTGGCTCTGAACTCTAGGCAGTGAGATTGGAATGTCTCACACCGGGAGCCAAGACTCATGTTCTTTTTCATTCATTATCGAGCTCCACGGATTAATACGCTGTTCATGGTGATCAGTTCCCCCTTCTGCTCATAACACCAACGCAGACAGATCAGAAACGTGCTCCCGTTAGTACCGATGGCTATTATCACTTGACAAGCTTTCTAAATGTACCTTTCCACAGAGTGACAAAATTCAGATGGAAACTTAAGTCCCACTCCCTGCCTCTGTCACCTCCGGGCCTTGGCACCTCGGGGAAGTGCTTTTTGAACAGAGCACCCCTCCACCTCTGCCGTGCCTTGCCTTCAAGCATATCCTCTAACAGGCCCTACAGTGCACAGCACATCGCATTTGCTCGAGAAGCTGCTCACAGCTAATACGCCGCCCCAAGGGATGCGAACTTTGCCGCTTGCCGGGGCAGGGTGTGACCCCCAGAAGGAGTTATCTCTACCCCTGAATCCTTAACTAGGAGGTGCAGCAGCCGGGCTATTGACTCCCTGATCTCCCGCCCTGCTCTGGTCAGGACGGCTATCTGCGTGGCAGGAGCAGGGCGAGGGGTGGTAGGGACTGATACCATTGTCTACAACCAAGTGCGGTGTGAGCTGTATCTGAGCAAATGCTCTTCCTGCAGCTCTCTTTGCAATTGCATAACGCCAGTTAGAAAACCTCCAAACCACCCCAAAAACCCCGTGTGGCAGGAAGACCAGCAAACAAGCCTCCAGCAGACGTTTGGATGGCCAGATACATTACCATCTTCAGGTTACGTGCACCGAAGAAGAGGGGGGGCCAAGCCCAGTTCAAGGCGAGCTGAGCCCCGTAGAGGCCAAGTGGGATGATGGCTTTGCTGCTGCAGCCACCCAGGTCATTCCATATCAGGTAGGAGGCATAGCTGGGAAGAGGGAAGCACGTTAGTGTTTTGCAGCGACTAAATCCCTAATACAAAGCCTTTTCACGTGGGATTGTTTTGCAACAGGGATTTGCAGGACACTCGTATTTGCACGACAGCTGCATCCGTGTCCCCTCGCTACTCTCAAACCCGTTGCCTGTCTCATACCTGCGTGGCTCGTGCAACCTCCCCAGGGCAGCGGCTGGGTGTAGGATCTGTTTACAAAGGCTGTGTCCCCGGCCAAAAGCATTGCCTGCAGTGTGAACCTGAGGAACTCGGCCCAGAATTTGGCTCAGGCTCTACTTCATCTGCTGGGAATAAGCGTACCTGACATGCCCTGCTGATTCGGGTATGAGGAGTGTCCCAAAAGCAATGAAAGGATTTGAAATGACTACTCTTCTCTGTCTCAGAGACAGCGGGATGAGAGAGGGACCAGGATGCACAACTTACCCCATGCCAGTGTACAGGACAGTCCAAGCAACAGGGAATATTTTGCGGGATGGACACCATGAGGGTTTTTTCAGCTTCTCATACCAACCCGGTATTTCTTTTCGATTAATGAACCAGCCAAGGAAACCTCCAACATGAGGCAGGACAGTAAAACCAACAGGATGAGCCCACATCCTTCCTCGGTGCCTTGAAGTAGTCTTTTGCCTGCTGTAAGTTAAAAACAATAATTGATTATCTCTGTAAAAGGACACTTTTTCCTACTTTGATGTTTCAAGCTTTTTCTTCAATTGCCCATGTTCCACTTTAGTCTCCAAGGCAGAAGTGTTTAATATTTGCTCAGCTCTGCTGCTGGCTCCCCCCTGCCCATCTGGTCTCTGAAATAGGGGTAATTATTTCTGCCAGGGTTACGTTTTTCCCCTTGATGTACGCAGCAAAGTGGCTATCTCAAGGCTTCTCACAATACTCGTGTGGCAGGGTTCAGCCACGGTGGTTATGTTCTTAGAAGCCAAGGCTGTGGTTACTTTTGTCATTCCTCCTCCGACCGCTTAAGTCAGACAGTGCAAAACTTCAGCGTACGTTCACGGGGACTACGCCTCTCAGCAGGGCTGTTCTCCCTCCTCACACTGTTCTGAGTAGGAAAACCCACACTGATCATGCCCAGAAAACCCCATCTGTTCTGACTTCACCTGATTTTGCACCGTGGATTTATATTGTAAGTGAGGTCTACAACAAGACAACATCCTCACAGCAAATTTTAAGTGTTCGAGGAACGTTGGTTAATCCTCCTTGCAGGCAGAGGGGGATTCTCACCTCTGTAAGGAGGTAAACTGAGGCACGAGAGTAGTTTCTTAATTTGCTCACAGTCTTCCTCTTGCATGAAAAGAAGGAACTCTAGTAATTACATTATGCTCCCACAGCAGACAGCTGTGGAAAGGACAACATCTAGCATTTCATCCTCTGCCTGTACTTCCCCTGTCACTAGGGCTCTGAACCTGCCAGTCTTCCGTCCTCCTTCCACTGGCCCTTCTGCTCCGCTAAGGAATTAAACCCAAATTAGCATTCATTGGGAATAACACGTAGGACTCGCCAGGAGCAGAGCAGTTCTGTGCTATCAGCATAAACACAAAATTCACCTGAGCGAATGCGCTTGGGAGAGGTTGGGTTTAGCAATGCTAGAAGGGAGGAGCAGGCGTGGAAAATTCCCTCGCCCGGGGAGACGTCCCCGGCACTCTGAGTACGGGTTAGGGAAACAGGGAGCACGAGGACAGGACTGATCTGCACAGGCATCTCTGCTTGGGATTTTAATTCACAATTAACACCTATGCTAATTGTTATTATTATCGTCATGCATCAAGCGTTCATCTTGAGAAACGCACGCCAGCAGTACGAGCCAATTTACACATCAATGAGGAACAAATACCCCAGACACCATCTCTAACTACCAATTCCTTTACCAGACAATTTATAGTGCTATTAAAGTGTCTATGGAACCAGAAAATCAACCGAACGCTGAGAAAAATAATAGCTGTTAGTCCTGCTTTTAAAGTGTAAAACAGCACCAGCTGAAAAGTAAAATGGGAAAAGTAGATTTTTCCCTCCTCCCAACTCCTTTCTAGTTGCCAGACTAACCTGATAGACTGCAGAAGTAACTGAAAAAGAGGTGAAAATAACACAACGCTGTTATAAAACCATATATTTTCCTCACAGCTCTTATAACTTAACAGGGTAGAAGGTGTAAAAAACCCTTACCGTCTCTTACGGCCTCCCTCTGCCTTGCAAAGGAAAAGGCTTGGACATCCAAGGCCGGCTCTGTCCCTGAGGCTGGAGCTGCTCTAGGATGAAGAAACTGTGGCTGAGTTTTACCTAAATAGCAGAAAAAAGGGGGTGTGTGCGTGCGCCGGTGGCTGTATCAGATTACACAAGAGCCCACGTTTGGCAAGAATTACAGGAGGTTTGGTGCTGGTTGAGCAACCCTGGGGAGGGCAAGACCCGCTCCTGGGTCCAGGCAGCGCGGAGGTGGGACGTCTGGGCTCGGTTTGAGGACGAGCATCTCGGCCGTAGGTCAGCGGGTGGCTGCGTGGGGCAGGGAAGCCCCGTTTTCTCCGGCTGGGAGGGCATCGGGCAGGCGAAAAGTATGAATTAAATGGTGCCACGTACAACTGGACGTGGTAATTGTGCAAGAGCTTGTGCGTTAGGGGTCAGGTCAGTAGCAGCAGGCCTTCTGCACCCATTACACAGATGTAACTCCTGCCGTGTTACTCCATCCCAGGATCTGTCCCGTGGGGGTGGGTGCAGGGCAGGAGGACATCCCTCCGTGCTGGACCCCCGTGCAGCGTTTAGCACAACACTGACCAACCAGATGCTTTCGGCCGTCACCTGTACGCCAGCCTTGTGGCTAAAACTCGCTGGAAACCACTTGAATCTAGAATAAAGACATTACACAAGCATGTTAAATGAAAAAGAAAAAAGCTAGAAATCAATTTCCATTAGAAAGCTGTCTGCAAGGGATGGGAAATTAAACACTAATTTACTTCAGTTATGGGTCATTACCTGAATTTCATGGCCAGAGGCAGAATTGCTGGTTCCTAGCAGAATGTGATATCACTGTTATAACACAGAACCAATGGAATCTTCTGGTTTATTGGGCTCAGAAGGAAATTATTTTTTGTGGGAGGAGAAAAAAAAAAGAACGGTGTAAAGGGACAGATTTTTCAGCTAGCATAAATCAGTGCACTGCTATTGCAGTGCCGTGTTTATACTGTGTAATTGCCACTTTGAAATAGCAGATGCAGCACACATTAATCAAGCAGCAGCCACCTGCACATCCTTCCCCAGTCTGTTGCTATTTGCGATTGGAAACTTCTGTCCTGCAAGGATGCAGCTGCTCTAGGCGACTGGATGGTTTCCATCGCAGCCAGCCACTTCGCCGCCGAAGCGGCGGTCGCGCGGATTGCTGGGCAGCGTCGCCTTCACTGGGCTTTGGCAGCTTGGTCGGAAAGCAGACAGCTCAACAGTTTTGAGCTGGTGGTATTTCCTTCCCTGGGCTTGAGTACAAAACCGTGATGACTGGTTGGCCTGGCATCTAGCAGTTGTATTCCCAGGCTATTTTAGAGTGTGATATGCTGGGAGAATTAAAAATCAAGGGGCAAATCACAAGGATCTCAGTAATCTGTAGAGCTGGGATTGATGCTGCATGGCTGGGGAATAGCAAATGCGAAGAGGAAAAGGGGCTACAGGGAAGCTGGGAGGGGGACTTTTTCCAAGGGCAGGGAGTGACAGGAAAAGGGGTAACGGGGTTAAACAGAAAGAAGGAGATTGAGATGGGACATCAGGAAGGAATTCTTCCTGCAGAGGGTGGGGAGGCACTGGGACAGGTTGCCCAGAGAAGCTGTGGATGCCCCATCCCTGGGAGTGCCCAAGGCCAGGCTGGATGACGCTTGGAGCAACCTGGTCTAGTGGAAGGTGTCCCTGCCCATGGCAGGGGGGTTGGAACTGGATGGTCTTTAAGGTCCCTTCCAACCCAAACCATACCGTGAGTCTATGATTCTATGAAAAATAGCAGACCTACAAGAAAGCTACACTCAAGCTTTAGAGCAGAGAAAGGGATAACTGAAGACATGGAGGTGCATGGAAAAATGGGATAATACGTAACAGATTTGCCCAAGTGGATCCGAGCAGGCTGGATGCCATTGCCTGGGCAGATATCTGCTTCCTAAGCAAGATGTGGTGCTCCTCGCTTGTCCCCACTTCTGAGTAGCACCTGTGATGGTGCTTATTAGGTAGTGACGAAGGCACTGGCAGATGGCAGCAGGACTGCTGGGCAGACGAGACGGCGAGAGGGAGCGCAGAAAGACAAGGATCAGGTTTGGGAAGAGTCCTTGGTACCACCCGGGGATCAGTACTGGGACCTGGAGCGATTTTAACTATGGTACGAGCACGTGCACAGGTACACGAGCGTGTGTGCATGCCCTGCACCTCCTCTTCTGCCTGTGAGCCTGTGCTGCCAGAGGGAACAGTCCTGCAACAACCGGAAAGACTTTCGCTACCACAATATTGGTTTTCCTCTGTTACCACAGATTTATGTCTCAATATTTCTGCTTTGAATCCTTTTACAGTAATACAAGATGAGGTAATACTACCTCTTAGTAAAATCATTTCTACGCTGCCTCTTGGTATGCTTCTGATTATTAAAGTGATATGATTGCTGGGTTTCAGGTCACTGCCGTATGGCTGCGGTGTGTTTTCATGGAAGGAAAGCCATGGGAGAACCGAGTTACACAACTGTGTTTGTTTTCCTCTTCTTAGCAACCTTTGCACGTTGTCCCAAGAGGTTCTCAGTCTATGCAAGATTAATTGCCCAAATATAAAAGCCCTGTTAACCTGAATATATTATTGAAAAACAGCATATTTCAATCTGCCCTAGTTTTGAAAACTGAGATGCCGGGTCAGCTCCTGGCATAAATCTGCAGTGCTCCTCGGAAGCTGGTGGAGCTTCTCTGATTTACATCGGCAATAAAGTCGTCCTGGTTTGTCTGCCACGGACGAGAGTGCGAGCGTGCTCGCCGAGCTGCCACAAAGGACGCGGCGGCGACCGGCGAGGAACCTTCATGGCCATCGCTGTCTTCTGAGCAACTCAAACCTGCCAGCCCTTGGCATTGCAGAAAACATTTAATTTGTCACTGTGAAAGGCCATTTTTTTTTTTTTTTAGATCCCCTGTTTTTATTTCTAATGAATAAAAGCTTGTCTTTAAAAGTTCTCAGTTATGTTGAAACAAAAATACGAGATAATATGAAGTTATATGGGAGTTTCCAGCTGGTCAACTGGGTTTTTTAATATGTGGGCTGAGGTGGCCCTGGGCCAGCCAGTGCAAAATCTCGCAGCCCCTCAAAACTTGGATATGGATTGTTCGGTGAGCTGAACCCGTGCAGCTGGAATCTCCACCAAAGGGAATTTTAAAGCAGACCTTTTTTAGGATTAAAGTCCAGTTTTCAGTGTGTTAGAAAGCACTGCCTGCAGGCCATGGCTGGATCTGCAGGCAGAGGGGCAATGGCCTTTCTCTAAGGTACAAGCTCCTTTCTGGGTCCTGACTGCTGATAGTGCACCACAGGAACAAACTCTGTTGTGAGGTGAATAGCAGAAAGGGCTCCTTAATTTTTTAGGGCTCAGCCTTTGATTTCTCTCTACCCGCAGGGAGGCTCAGGCTCTCCCCAGCTCCCTGCTACCCCATGGCCAGGGTCTCAGCATCCCTCAGGGCTGTGCTCGTGGCCGGCTCTGAGCTGAAAAGCCAGGCTGGGTTTCGAGGTAAATTTTTAATATTGAGGCTTCTCATAGCCCTGCTCGTTCGTCGGTAGCAGAGCTGGTGAGGGTCATACGGAGCTGCCTGCGTGTGATAACCGCAAGGGCAATGCTTCCGTCTTATCTGCACGCAGACGTTGCACCTCTTTAGCCAAAGGAATAAATTTTAGCGGCTGCACTTCAACGCCTTCTCTTTCACGTTAGGAGTAGCTTAGTGTGGGGATAGGAAGGTGATTGCAAGCAATTAAGTTAGGCAGCTTAACAAATTACCACTCTCTAGCTGAGCCTCTTTAATTAACCACATACACAGACCCAGCCCAGCACTAATATGACATAAAATATTTTGCCTTCAGCTACCGTGACCAGTGATACCTGCTTCACTGGCGTGCTTGGCAGCGCTGGCTTGGACCTGCTGCAGCCAACGCCGTGTCGCTGACCACGCCGTGCCACGTCGTCCACTCGTACAGTGCCTGGTGGGATTCTGGCGCTGCGAGGACGGTGCCTGGGGATGTGCAGAGGGCTGGTTTTTGGTCTCAGAGGACTGACTTTTGGTCTCAGAAGACTCAGCCCTTGCCTCAAAAATTTAAAAAAAAAGCTGCAGAAATGGTACAAAGTCCCTGGCCGGGGGTTGTGTTTCAGCGGGTTGTTACCACATCTCCGCTGCTGAGTTATGTCCTACCCAGTCACGTTCGCAACCCTTGTATTAATGTCAGATTGGGGTATCAGGTTTAAAGCGAGCCAGAATAATAGTGTTCACAAAGGATTTTATGATGCCTTAATATAGCAGTTTAAAATGCGTTTCAAGGTCTTGCAGAGTTAATTGAGAAAAGCTATTGCGGTTTCCAGTGATGCTCTCGCTTAAATCAAGTTCACTTTCATGTGCTGATGTGTCCTAAATTACACTGGTGCACATTTCCAGCCAGGCGAGGCTCCGTAGCAAGGAGCACCAGCTATGAAAAAATTGGGGAGAGCATTTTCCTGCCGGTACTTTCGGAGGAAAGCCAGAAACCGAGGGGCAGCACGCACCTCCCTGGGGTCTTAAAAAAGCAGCAGATAACCTCTGAACCCTGAGCTGTGTTTTCTGCAGCTGTGGGAAAAGCTCTGGGATATCTCCCCACCCCGGTGGTTCCCTTAGTGAACTGGGAGATGATGACAAGCACCAGCAACAGGCAGGGAATGGCACACTCTGGAAGACCGTATCCCTCTTGTTCCTGGAGTGGGAATACCCTGCCTTCCTCCCCTGCTAACGCAGCGTTGCTGAGCTGGCAGTCAGAAGAGTCAGGGTCCTTCCTAAGGGCTCTTCCAGGTTTTGAGGGGATCTGTCAATCCCCTGGCTTGCCCAGGGCTCAGGAAGCACAAAACTTGGGAACAGGCTTTGTCCAGGTATTAGGGAAGGCATTAGTCAGCCGCAAGGCTTTTATTGCTGGTGATTATGAAAAATGAAGGGACCAGCTGGCTTGGCTTTCCAGTAGGAGTTTTCCACCCTAATTTATTAATTCAAGGCTTC